TTGATGTGTTCTCGCGTAGCAATCAATACCCCGCCTCCATGACGTCCATTGAGCGAGACTTTTTTTTTGACACTTTTGCATTCGTTTCGATTTTCTTGGTTTTCGTCGCGATCGCCTCTTCCACGTTTGTTGTCCGCCATGTTCGACAGAACAGTACACGAACACTGGTAATAATTAGAATAAATTATAGAGAGCGCGGGAAATGTTTCTCGCCCCGGGACTCCTCGTGAATTTCTTATCGCGAGGCTACCAGTCTACTTGCCGAACATAATTCGAGTAGCCGCGTTCCGAACATAATTCGGAGGAGCCGAACAAAACTGGACTAAACTCAAAAAAACTGCCAGCCTAGTTATAAGTGAAATACTCCCAACACAAGTTAAAAGAGCCGAACATAATTCCATGCAACGCTGGAACATAATTCTGTAGTTCGGCCGAATGAAATATCAAACACCATAACATAATTTGTTTTCTAAATTTGACCCTAATAACGCTCCATAAACGACGAGTGTTAGGAAACTACTTCTAACACTAATAGAAATGTAATTATTTTTACGAATCAAAGTATCTATTCTTCTAATTATTTATTGCCCTATTTATCTATCTACTCTTACTTCTCTCTTACTTTCACCCATCTTGTAAATAAGGGTTCTAAGGAATGATTGGTAAGAGAACTCTATTTAAATTTCACCGGTCTGATTTTCATTTCAGAGTTTGCAGGGACACTGGCTTTAGCAGTGCTTCCTAAAAATGCCCAGTAGATGAGGCTCAAGTGAGTTTCCTTTCCACGACTTGGGTAAAAACCGTTAAGGTTTGACTTTACCACACATCTATCACCGTACCACCAGCCTCCTCCGCGTGTCTTGCACTTGCCGTCAGCAGGGTCTCTATCCCAAGTGCCAAAAGAGAAATTCCTATAGAAACGAAGCGAATCAAAACTGACAGTCGCATCTGTTGAAAGACGAGACAAAAAATGTTTACTACAACTAAATAATTTTGACATAATTAATGAATCCTCAAGGACCATGTTTATCTTATTATGGAAATACTGAGAGGCATTGTGTCACTTTAGATTTTTGAAGATAAATGTGAGTTGTTATATTTTCAACCTCAGCCCTCCAATTACCGGTCGTATGCTTCGGCATTGAGTAAAAATTGTATTGCACTGGTACAATTTATTCATTGCGCAGAGTGATGATAAGCTTCCGTTACAGAATCCTACACAGAGCTTTACGACGAACCTTCTCCTGACAAAAATTAATATAAAACAAGACCCGACCTGCTCTTTTTGCCAAAAACCATTTAGAAAACCTTATCCACCTCTTTTATCGTTCGAAAATCGCAGTATTGGGAAAACTTGTCTAAAAAAACCTAAGCAATGCATCTTAAGATCGACACACTACCCCATATATCTAGGCATGAGGCCGGACACCTCTAAGCGTAATTTTTGTTTTCTTTCAGTGAGACACCACATACGGAGTTGCAGGGCAAATAATAACATTCCTCTTTTAGCAAGCTTCCTTTTGCCACATAAATCTCAGTTCCGAATTGAATCGAACAATCTTAATACAATTTCGAACAAATGAAACCCTTCACTCTCGCTCCTAAATATCGCATAATAGTAACTGACATAGGATCCTCCCACCTTTCCTGTCTTCTTTCTGCCTCTTTCCAGGCCCCCGGCTCATTTGAGGAAGTCTTACAGTCAGAATTTCTAGTTTACCTTCAAAATCTATTACACGTACGTTCCTCTAAACTGCTAATTGACAAATTTTCTTTATCGAAAACATTTAATCTATCGTTTCATAACATATAGTTTACCAAAAATTGCATAATTTATAATAAAAGAGTATCTAAACACTTTTAAAAGTAATTTAAGGTAGTGGAGACCCTCTTTTTTCATTAATTTCCTTGCTTAGTTGTGTTGTCAGTACCCCTTATATTTTCTCATTGATGTAATTTTTTCTCTCCTTTTTCTTAATATTTTAATGTAATAAAATTTCTCGTGATATATTTAATGTTGTTATTGTGCAACGATGAATAATAATACTAATAATACCTAAAAAAATAATGTTGATGAATATAGGCTATGTGTAAGGGCAATAAAAGCAAAGATGGCGATGAGATGACTGAGGGACCAGTCCTTATTAAGGAGGTGCTGGATTTGGATAAATATAATGGTTTGAAGGTATCAGGCGTCCCTAATAGAGTATGAGGGGAGTACAACTGAATGTTGAGTGCTTCTTTTATCCTAGTCATCTCCTCTCTCCTCCCCTCTTCCCTCCTTTGGGAGCCTGGCTACGCTGTTACGTTCTTTGATGAAGAAACTTAATATTCATATTGCATCGGTATAACGTAGAAACACGCATCTAAAATAAAACTTTTATTTGAACAAGCTTATTTTTCACGTAGTTACAAAAATAACTTTCTCTACGATTGTTTTTCTCGTCCATAAAATAACGCTATAATAAGACGCGTAAGGTACTCGGGAGTAAAACATATACCTCCAGCAGAGAAGGGGAAGGGGGCTTGTATGTCATGAATATTGCAACTGCCAACGAGAGGTGATCATTAGAATTATACAGAGTCAAATGGGGGGATTAGGTAAATTCTATTTTGAAAAAACCGAAAGCCTTCGATGACCCCTCTGGCGATAAAGAACGACTGGTCGCTAAACCAAGGAAAGTGACTTACTTGAAAGATTGCTGAGGTTCAGCTGGTACATAGTACTCTCGTTTCCAGTTCGAAACCATGCATACTCAGTGTAAATGGGCTTGTCATTAGTCACTCCAAGTTCTATCCTAAGTCTGTTTCCTATCTCCTTTCTTGTTAAGCGGTGGATCTTGTCAAGTCCGAGCCAAAATTCTTGAGTGATGAAATTTCCAAAACCATGTTTGTACTCTTCCCAGGTGCGATTGAAATCCATGTAGCCATTCATTCTCTTCTGAAACACTGTCCATCCTCCACCAGCTGTGCTCTGGTCGCAAAATACATCGAAGGCGCCTAAACCATCAAGAGGGTCGATTGTGTAAACACCGCTGATTCTTCCTCCAGACTTGTATACGTCAGCACAGTCCTTGGCTAAAGAAAGAAAAGACGCAGTTATTTCTGCTGGCTGAGATTTACATCCTTGTGAATAAGAAAAAAAATCTCCATGGTACTACGGGCTTTCTTAGAGAGATGATACAAAAAAGTGTTGCTCCTTTTCAGTCGAATCTAGGCATCTCCTCGCCATGAATTTTGAAAGATACTGGCTATTAGTAACATTTTTTGGTTGTTACAAGTTTCGAACATTTGGAAACAGGTAGTCTCTATCTACTTACGTTTTATTGACGCTCTTGTTCCCTTGAGAATATTCACTTCAAGTTGAACTTGAGAAACTTGTCGCAGCACGTCGTTCAGGAAGCTTCCAGTATCGTTGTGGCTAACCATCGGGGTTGCATGCGTTAACAGTTTTGTCGTCAAGAGGAGTGCAGAGAGCAGCAAAGTTGAACTCAAGGAATCAGAAGTCATTTTGTGGCAACTGGAGGCTATAATTGGTTGAAATGCAATACACATTAAGACTGAAGTAAAAAAAAAAAAAGAAAAGAAGAAGAAGAAGAAATAATAAAAAAGGAGAGATAAAAATAGAAACGAAACATGTGAACATGATTGTGAAGTATTTTTCAAACAGAGTAATATAGCTGGGAAATTGGTTCCTACAGAGATGGAAAGTTCATTCAAATGTGTATAAGATACCTTGAGTAGAATCAGCAATCAAACTTCAGCGATACCAGCAGGGTGATGGAACTGGTTCACGTACAGAACACATTCCTATTTTATTACCCAGTACTTGAGGCACTGACGTGTAATCGAGAAAGGGTCCATTGTGTGCGGCGGTATCAAATGCACGATGTTCCCTCCACGAAGGCAGCAATCTATTTTTAAATGAAATGCATTATTGTTGAAATGACACAAAGCAGCGTTCAGTATTCAGAATTGTTTTTTTTCTGTAGGATATGAGATATTTTAACATGCTGCAATGTAGCAAACACAATTCACAAAATGACCTGATCTATTTGATAACTATACTATTTTATCAGTTATGTAAAGAGAGGTAAATGGGGAAATATTATTTGAAAGGTGAAAAGATACATTCTAGTGGTGGAAAAAATTGCAGGAAAAATAATTAAAATAAGCTTTTAAGTCGATCTGATGATCATGTGGTTTACCTAAGATTTCCGATTGCGATATTTATCGGCTACTTAAACGATATCTTATGTCGTGAAGTACTTTGGCGAGAGATTTCGCCGTCACAATGAATTTCCCAATTATGAATATCGTGTCCTTGATATCGGTATCTGAAGCGTAACTGACGTGCCCTAAATTAATCATCCTGTGTACTTTTAATCAGCGGGTTTTTGGAATAAATAATGTTTACCCTTTTTTTTTCCATTTTTTGTTTCTTGTTTGTTGTAATCTTCATGCAAGTTTTATAATTCAAAAGCACTCTAAGCCATATTTGTTTTCTCTGAGTTTCTGTCCTTGACTGGTAACAAGGCTTAATTCTTATAGAGTAACTATCATCCGTACACATGATTGGCCTTGCTTGCTTGCTCTACAAGTCTCACATAGTGTAAAATGCTACCAAGTATGTTAAGACGCAAATATTAAGGAACATAATGTCCTTCCAAGAGTTTAAAATTGAGTTGTTGAACTAAAAATCGATAGGTGTAAATATGTTATGCTTGACTGTAAATCAAGCTGTAACTATCAGAAGTACCTGGACGTCATAAAATTGTTAGTGGCCACATCGATACTTCAGCACGATGGACAACATTCTACAGTCTATACTACGGATGGCGAGGATACTAAAAATCACTGAGACGTTCAAGTATTAAACCATAGATGGCTTGAGGGAGATTCTGGCTGCTTATGACCACAACTGCGGATATGAAACGTTAGATGAATCATCACTTACTTTGCTCCAAGTGTGGACGGAAACGTGACGAAAAAGGAGGTACTAGAAACTTACTTAACAGTGGTTCTAGTCGTCATTCTTTTCTTTCTTGAAAAGTATCATGACATACCCTTTTGTCAATCGTAAGGATTGATATCTGAGACTACGTGGGAATTTTTTTTGTTCCCATTGGGTTCTTTTTTTTTTCCGGAATTTTTCTTTTCTTTTAATGAAAGACGGAAATTCCCTCTTATGGGGGTTTTGGTTGGTAACGCGGGGGTCTTCGGGCTTATTTTCAAGGTAATCCAATTAAGTCATCTAAAAAATTGACTTTTGTAGTTGACCTTAGCGTTTGACACTTTTGAGTGGCCACATGCTAAGTTATGCTCGCTATAGAAACACAGAGGCATTTTGTAGAGTCTTGGGTCTCGGGAGACCCTCAGAAGAACCATTACGTTGTGCGAAACTATCTTCTCCTTTTCATTTGTTCCCATCTACAGTCTGGTTATTTACGCAGACCGCGGGCAAAGATCACCTCGTTCGATTGAAATGAAGAGATGTTTGTGTGATTGAAATTAAAAAAAAAACATATATTTTTTCACAAATATTATTAACAAATATTTTTGTTGGAAATTGTGGTTGAAATGGAAATGCTTAGTTAAATGTGAAAAAAATAAATATATAGATAACGATATAAAATTGACCCTTGAAGGTCTACCGTATTCATTAAGATGAATGCAGCCATGAATTTGCTTACCGATCGGCGAAAACCATCAAAGTACGTACGTACGTGTCGTGATATGTCCTCTTACATGTAAGCTAATCATTTCCTTACAACGGAAACGATCTCCCGGATTTCCATGTCCATTTTCCAAATAAGGAGAATCTTGAGAACTTCTTTCACTTTTTTTAAAGATTTCCCAAGAGTCTCATAAGATCAAATGAAATTATAAAAAAAAATGGGTAAGTGCCGCTTCAAACCTTAATATTTTTCGCCTTCCGTCTAATATTGCATTTGTAACTGAAACAACCAACATGGAAATATTTCTTAATTACAATGAAAGAAGGAAAAACCATAAAATTAGCAAAATTGATCTTGTTTAAATTCGTGCTAGTTTTGAACTTCTTACAGGGTAGGGTGCAGGTTAGGTTTATCTTATTTGGCATTACTCCCAACATAACTCTTTCACTTAAAGTCACAATTACTCCAAAACTAAACCAGTAAATCTTTTTCTATATCTTGAGCAAAGCTCAAATTCTCTTTGAGTCTACGTTTTTTAATTCATTTTTAACCTTTTCCCGATCACTTTAATCGGCGTGTATAGTGTCGCCATTGAGATGGCGAGTCTTTGTCAGAGCGATTGAAGGAATTGTGGGTGGTGTGTGGATTTATATGCAGAAGAAGGAGCTACGCTATTGGTGGGAATATGGTGACGTGAAAACAAGAATAAATTAGTTGAATGAAAGGCGCTCGTTGATACTGTGGGGATTAAGAGTGCCCATTTGGATGATAAATTTTTGTTCTAGTATTTTGCGGCTTTCCGAACTGCCTAGATGTCGGCACACCAAACAACGACTGTGCCGCCTTTGTCGGCCGCTTTGTCGGCCGCTTTCACTGCACGAAAAATTGGATTTAAACAGATTTGCAACTGAAGTAAATATGATGCAAATTTAGGCCTCCAGATTTGACCTAAATTCGCAATGAAAGTAATGATGATACAAATACAGATATTTATACCCGTTGTATTTGCGCGCAAATGTGAAGTAAATATGATATCTACTTTACCTTTGCTTTGTTTTTGATACTTCCGCAAATCAACAAATTTGACTTACATTTATACAGATTTGCTCTATTTGCAAAGTATTAAGTTTGCTAAAGCACAAAATGTAGGCAAATATGGTGTAAATCCATTTGTTTGCATCATTGTTTTACAAATGTTGTAGAGGCTTCAAACAAAAACATCTGCACGTTTTTTACTCATGTTTTGCTACAGGAGCAAATATGCTCATATACACTAAATTTGTATTACTATCAAACCAACAAATTTGCGCTTGTAATCTCACGTTTGCCATCTATGCAAATATGGTCATCTTCGACGAATTTACAACCGTTATTCTCATATTTATACGTCCTTTTTTGAAATTATCTCATTACCGTTTCAATCCAAAACATTAACAAATCATATATTATCGATTACAAACCGTGGTTCGCTCACAAAACTACTCAAAACCTCGCAAAGAGTCGACACCCACCGGAATAAAAAGAAATACCGACTTTTCACTAACTGAAAAGCCATTTGCGCTGACCCCGCGGGATGAGTATTGTGGCCGTGAATCAACAAAAATAAAGATGCTTTACATGTAATTTTGAAACAAAATTGTCTTTTCGATGCAAAAAATCCTAATAAAACTCATGCGGCAACCTGAAGGTAAAATTTCCTGACTTTTCACTGACTTTGAAGTGATGTGCAAGAAATTTTCTAATAACGCGTGCAACAAGAAATCTTGCAAAGAATAAGAGCAACATCCTACTGTAAATGGCAGCCTTGTCGTAAGGATTATCTCGCAACCAGGTTCTCCCGAATTTTCTGCTAATATTGGTCAATTCGGTTAACAACGTCAGTGTTACGTCATGCATTTCAGCGAATGATTGTCAATTTCTGTTGAGCGATACGTATTGAATTACGCATTCAAATTTTGAGCGCCACTTTCCTGCCGTTTTTCACTTCGGTTGCGGAATATTTTACGCAGGAGAAAAAACAGGCGTTTTTCTCTTGGTTGATTCTTAGATATGGCTAGAAAAACCCCAAACCAAGCGAGTAGACGAAGAGTAAACGAAACGCATAACTTGAGGGATTTAAATGGTAACCCAACAAGATTGTCTGCATCTATGATCAGTACACCTCGGGCTAAGCAATCCCAAACGCGGCCATCATCTTCTAGCGTAAACACAACGACAGTCACAGCGAGGAACACCAGATTGTCAACGAATTTGGACACCACTCCCTCTTTCAGTGATAGCTCGAACGAGGACTCGTCCTTAACATCAGCGAGTAGCTCAAGTACGCCGATAGTGCCTACGAGATCTAGAGGGGAAAACGATAGTACGAGAATTAATCGTGTTCTCGTGCCGTTGTTGCAGTTAGCCGATGGCAGTGAAAGGCCAAATGACTGAGCGGGTGAAAGTTTACCGGCAGTAGCTCTGCAGCAGTTAAATACGTTCATGGTAAGACAAGAACGATTTAATGAACGCCTCGAACAGAGGATTGTGGCTTTCGAAGCACAAAGCCAAAATGGGCGGGAAAAGAAGGCGTCTAGGCGCCTGCCTAAGGCGCTTACGGTAAGAATTAGTGTATTTTTAAGCTTATTGTTTACAAGCTCCGGGACTAAAGAGTTGTTTTAAAATGATCTTACTGCTAGCTACGCGATCAGAAACGCGGAAAATCCTAGCTTATTCTAGTTCTCTTACCATCCTTCTCGAAGACCTTTCGAAGAGCAAAGCCAAAATGGGTGGGAAAAGAAGGCGCCTGCCCATGGCGCTTACGGTATGCATTAATGTATTTTTTAAGCACATTGTTTACAAGTTCCGGGACTAAATAGTTGTTTTAAGATGATCTAACTGCTAGCT